GATTTATGTTAAAATTCTTCAAAATACAATGTTGTCCCACGACTGTCATATTTTCAGGGTAAATTCTAAGAAAAAATTCTCTCGTGATATATAATATACATATGTATGTATATCAAATTATAATTATATGTGTAGATAAAATTATAATTAAAAGCCTACATTTTATTCAAATAAAATATTATAATAAGATAAATAGAACTTCCTAAAAAATACATAATAAAGTCATAAATACATTAAGATAAAAGTTGAACCTTTCAATAAATTTAATATTATATGATTATTATACTTATTAATTTTATTTTATTAATAATTTCAGCAATTTAGACATCGTTTCTTTAAACAATAACAGCATTTCCATACATTATGATAACATGATTGCTGAAAAGGATAAGTTATTTAAAGTAATCAATAGCGCAGAAAAAAAACCATTATGGATTGGTAAGAATATATATAATATTATAGAATTATAAATAAAATAGTAATTATTGGAAAAAATTTAATCAATTAAATAAAATTTATTTAATTTTGTTGATTAAATTAAACTAACTTAATGCAATTAAGAATTTATTTGGATATCTTATATTTGAATGATTATTTGTAACATTGATTTATATACGAGTATACATATATTGTTGTATAGCGGAATCAAAATCACAAGAGAGTAAATACCAATATCTAGGAGCACTTATCTGGATGAGAAGACTTGGAGATGCTGCAAAGCTTGGTATACAAGTTGTGATGAAACAATTGACAAATTTGTCTCAAGCAACTCCTGTAAGTCACTCATTATTGTATTAGGTGTTAAACTTAATTCCTGCCGTCGGCAGGTGTTAAAGTTTAATAAGGTATTAAGTTTAACACCAAATCGATATGTAAATTTTGTTTAAATGTAAATAAATTTTAATTAATATAATAAAATATAAAGAAACATTTTATTAATTAATATAAAAATTATTATTTTTTAACCAGGCTTATTGGGTATCATTATTGTATAAGACCTTAGTAGGCCGTGAAGTTTTGGAGATAAAGCTTCAATCCAATAATGAAAATTACGTGCATTTTTATAGTCATTGCACAAAGCCCTCAGCACTGTACAGCAAAGGAGCTGTTACGATTTTCGGTATAAATTTAACACCGAAGACAGTGACTACTAGTCTAAAAGGGCTTAAAATAAAAATTCTTCACAAGTATATTTTATCACCAGAGTTTGAAACTACCAATAAAATGTTTTCAGAGTAAGTAATTTTGTAATTCACAAATACATTTGTATAAAAAATCGTTTATCCTATTTTTAGCAATATTATATAAAAAATAAAAGTGCTACACAAAATATTTTATTCAATATATTAATATAAATGTAGATAACGTATAAATGTAAATAACGATATGTTTTTTCATATATATGTATACGCTTTTTTTAATGACTCAAGTGGGAATTGAATACCGGCGAGGTACAGGTCCAATACCATTTTTCAGTATTTAGTACCGACGCGATACTGAATACCAGTACTGGTATAGTACTGGTAAAACACTGGGTAGATAGCAATGGGCCAAAGTTTGGAATACAGTACTATTATAATACGGTATCAGAATAGAGGAAGGTCACCGATACCGACATACCACTTTGTTTTTAGACAATATTTCTTAAACAAAAGATAAAAATATAACTTCAAAAACATAAATACAAAGTGTCTTCTATCAGATAGTATAAACAATTTTTATAATACTGTTTGCAATTTTGCAATAATTAAGTTTTTCGTAAGTTATGCAAAAATGAGCGTCTGACAAAATGGGCTCCAAAACTGACATAGTAGGCACCATAATAGGCACCAATACCATAATAGGCACCATAGTACGTACCAATACCAACATTCCTATTCTATAAATAAAGATATATCCTATTCTGTAAAGAAAACTAATTTATGAAGCTATAAACATTTAAAATAATATAATAT